ACCATGCTCAGAGCTACTAAGATATGGGTGTAGTTAACCCAGTTTAATTAAGCTGTTCCACAGAAATGAAACGGTAACATAAGGTATGACCTGCAATATGTTCATTGCTGGTGGTGATTGTGATTTCAACCTCTCAATAATTCTGTTTACTGCCACCGTAGTCATTCTAAAATTAACACTTACCAGCTGTTCAATACAGGGTATACATGTAACATATTCACACTGTCTAGCATATACAATTTATATCATAAATTACTACCCTAGCTAAAAGTGTTTATCTGTGCAAATTTAACAAATTATTCCAAAATTACAATTGGGTTCAAATCATTCCGGAATTCATAGAACAGTATCAATCCCCAATTGCTGCCAACAAAATAAACTCTTTGACATAGACCCAGTAGGCGATTGTATAATATTTCTTATCCTGTTATTAATTTGACCACTTGCAATTAATGAAAAGAAAAATAATTATTAATGACTGCTAGGATCACTAATAATAATAATTCTCATAAGAATAATGATTCATATATAGCAAACATATTACAAGTGTCTATGCGCTTCACAGAACCATACCAGGAGTGAGCAAGTGGAAATCATGACTGGTAATGTCTTTGTGAAAAATGTTAGTTTCAATAACATATATATTTCAAATACATATTATATATGATCGACAATCAGACAGTGTCCATAACAACCATGATCATCTCGTAAACTAATTGACCAGTATTCGAGTTATTTCAGCATTTTTATTATTCGACATTTGATTATTTGATGTTTTTATTAATTAATTCGCATGTAGGTTATCCCAGTTCTTTCCACTCCATATCTAGACTAACAGTCAACATAGTGGGAATGTAAAATGCGAAGATATAAAAACACATTGCATTTGGCTCGAGTTCTTTTAGTCTGTACATGCCATATGCAACTTATAGAAAATTAATTTATAAACCACATTGCTGTGCTGGCGCATTTCTCTTTGTATTAGCATTAAAAACTCAGGCATCCTATGTTCTTACCACTATCAGGTATTTGCATAATATGAAAATAAACTTATAGTAAATTAGTGTGTTCTACTGCAAGCTCTTTATGCCATGTTCCATAGAAAGCAATTAGTTGAGTTCGAACCGTGTCCAATGTAATATATTCAAAGATAGTAATATTTAATAATGTAGTCTAGTGCATATGCAACTCACAAAATAATTCATAAACTCGAGCACATTATAAGTAGTGACTGGATTGGATTCAGAACACTTACTCATAGACACAAAGATCATTTGAATACCGTTTCATATTAAAAAACACAATACTTATTGAGCACGTTCTTTAAATATCACCATAAACAATATCTTATTCTATCATGGATTGGCCCTGAATACGGTGTGAGTGTGGTGAAGTCATAGGTTAGATGTCTCGTATATCCTTTTTTTTTATTTGGCTACGAACATAGGATTGCAAAGCGTGTCCTTTCATCTTTCCATCACAATAACAGAAGGTCGGCGAAAATCGCTCTGTCGGCAAGCACTAAGCCGAAGGCGTGACCTTACTAGGGGGTCCGGGGCATGCTCCCCCTTAACAATTTTGAAACCTAGACCCATAGAAACGATATTTCCTGCAGTTTGAGGGGCAAATTTGGCCACACAAAGGGTTTCAGCTTGATTTTGGAGGAGCGAAGCCCCCAACATTGTTTTCCCCGTCTGCCTCTCCCCTGTGCCGCCGCCACTGTTACACTAACGCTTTGCCTTGTAATTCATGACCCCTCAACTTTCTGTGTAGTATGCAAAAATGGACTCATAGTTGTGGAAACGGGTTTGTGAGGATCTAAGTAATCCAATCTTTGCTGCTTGCGATGTCATTAAGAATTATAATTACAGTCAAGCTAGAATTGTTTACATACATGGAAATCGACACTTATATTTCGTTAGCATCTAAGATATTCCAGCGCCCTCTACGTTATGTCTAGTCTAGCAGTTAACATCGTGGAAATACAAAAAAATATATATATAACACAAGCAAGCACATATTGCGTCTGGCGTGGATGCTTTCTATACAAGCCTATTGTAACTTATGGCAAATTGATAAATAAAAACAAAGCTGGTCAATCCTTTCCCAGCAATAAACCCGTCATATGGTTATGCCGGCGCATTTCCCTTTGTATTAGCATTAACATTTCAGACATCTTATGTTCTTACAACTATTAAGTATTTGCATAATGTGGATTTTTGGAAATATTCTGATGGGAAATTAGTGTGTCATTGTCCCCACCCCAGAATGCAATTCGAAGAGTTTGAACTGTTTTCAATGTACGGAGTAAAACATTCAACAATGCAGTCTAATGCATGGCATATCCAATTTACAACATAATTTACATATTCGATTACATTACTGTGTTTGTACATTTCCTTATATTACAATTCAACTAGTACCTGTCAATGTGAATAATATAACAAATATACAGTAAATAGTGTTTTTCCACCAAAAATTTCGACCCCAGTCGAGGGCATAAACCTGCGATTTCAAGTACTCGGGTGTAACTGGAAATTCTACTGTAGTTTTCTTTACTTTTAGCTCGTGTTGAGTGACCACGGGTGCTTATTGCGTGGTGTTGTCTGTCTCTCCGGTCGCTCACCTATCCGTCCGTCCATTCTTATGTCTGTTGAAGAATATTCAGAAATGTAGTCTAATTCTTCTTTGTAAACTCAGTTTTTCTGTTGTAACATTACCCAATATACGACAACTCATTGTCTGACAAGTAATGTTCATGCAAATTTTTAAAATACATCATTTAAAATAAACTTCTGATAAATATTGTTTGTTCAATTGCACGACTTCTGAAATTTAGTTAGCCAAACAAGTCCTCACTGAACACGTGTGTATACAGAACACTACTTTCCGTTTACGACATTATGATTTTAATGCAGAAAATACAGTATTTTACAAACTAAAATCATGTTTATTCAAATTATTGTTCATACATGAGTTGTCGAACACACTAAATAGTTTGTAATTTCATTCAGCTTTTTTAGTAATAATAAACACAAATAAAAATGCAATTATATTTTTTTTAAATTTTAATTTATTCTTGAATTACTCTTAATGAATTTCGACATTTTCTTGTTAGTTGTCCCACGCCATTCTTTATTGTGGTGTTACGAATGACAGTCGTCAAAGAACAAAATTACTCAATATGTATTTCAATTTGGTGTTCATGTTGGTAGAGTAAATGTGTAAGTATCAACTAATAAAACGAATTATGTATAGCTTTGCAGTGACACTGTATAACCGTATTTGTTGATATGCTCTCTCTATGATTGGTTGATAATATGAACAGTTAGCCAATAGTAGTATGTGATTAAACGATATTATAATATTATTATACGTTTTGCAGGTGACTGCTGAAGTTGTAATATCTCTTCTACTGTTCCCTGTTTCCCGTAACACAGAAATATAAATATCATAGGTAGCACTGAGTGCAGCTCTAGAACTAAAGTAGATAAAAACACGCGTTTATGTGTATGTTCATAATTGTATGTTTGTTGTAAACACATAGTTGTGCAGATACTAGTATTCAAATAAACACAATCAAGAGCAGCAATAGTATGAATCGTAGCAAAGCTAATTCTTATATGCATGTTAGGAGCATCGCCAACAAGCGAATATGATTAGTCAAATATCTTATACTTATATACTCCGTATATCTTATACACACATAAATAATCACAACCCTCTTGTTTCTGGGTATATTTTCTATATATTCCTCTACTGGTGTTAGCAACTCCTGCCATATCCACTTTCGAAGTTTTGTATACAAAACCAAAATGTTGCAAGTACAATGTCAGTAAATATGGCAATCCGTATAGTTAATTATAGGTGATATGCACGAGTTTATGATAATGTAGCGTTAATTAATTAATTAAAGTAAACGAGTGTTTAACACTTCAAAGTGGAAATGCCAAGCGTGTGCGATATTGTGAAAATAACAAAAGTTGTACAGGAAACTTCAAATGACCACAAACACAGAACAAACGACTGAAGACAATCCACAAAAACAAAACACAATCACAGTGCAGTAAAGTACAGGAACCATTAGATCAGTATATATGTTCACTTTAATAATCAGGTTTCATGCCAGGCATGTCACTCTCCGAAGGCGACACCAATTTTGGATTATTTGAAAAGGTCAAATTTCATCCATAGACTCTCAATATATATTTATCGTGTTGTTATATTGTTTGTGTTCATCTAGTATATAAACTAGGTACAACATGTTTAACAATGAGCACAATATATCTGTCGACCTAGGGATCCCCAGGAGTTTAAGTACGTCTGATTTCACTTATATTCAGCAACTGGTAGATGTCCTAATCATGTGAGAAACACAATTTTACAAATCCCATGTTAACGCAGTGCTGCTGCATTATCAGTGAAAGCACGAACGATTACCAGATGTTCTGCGTGTCAGATTTCAATATTCTATATTCAAGCATTTTCAACAACACACATTATAAGAGTTGGTGACTATCGCAGTTAATTGTGTTGGCATCGCTGATATTTTAAATTTGACATTTCCATTTCTGTCATCGGTAGTTTCTTGGAGAAATTATCCGTAGGGTATCGTCATCATGCGCAATTGTACGCGTTCTTTGTGTTAATGTGGTTTATTAATAAAGTATTACTTTGCAGTAGAAAACTGCTTTTCGAACAAACATCATCATTCAAATCCAAAATAGAAACGTGAAATATTAATAATGTGATTAATTGTGTGCCATATGCAACTCAAAATATAATATATTATTAATTATAATATTACATTAAGAACTCAGGCACATAGTCGCGTTGGCACATTTCTAGTCGTACATGCATTAAAATTCTTGCTAATTTGCATAATATATAAACTCATGGTAAATAGTGTTTGTTCCACCGCAACCACCTTTTGATCTGACCCGATAATAAACATATAAATACGACGTCTGAAATTCAGTTACTCAACCTAGATCCGACTGATAACGTGTATACATTGCTCGACGATCATCACAGAATACATTTATTCAAGATGCATTTCAGTTTGGTGTTTATGTTAGTAGCGCTGATGTTTGTAAGTATTAAGTACATAAATGGAATCATATATTGCTTTGTAATGCTTTTATTGTTTGTGTTGGTATGTTCTCTATCCAAGTTTCATTCAAATGTACACTGCTAATGGTGGATAGTAATAAGAGTTATCAAATGTTGATATGTGGCCACTAACAAATTTGTAAATATTTGTATTACAGGTGATTGCAGAAGGAGACGAGCATTGTGAGTAATACATATATGTATATATTCAAATTAATTTCTCAAAACGTTTATCCGTTATATCAGTATATAAATATTCTGATGTCACACATACACTTCAGATCACAATAGACATAAATAACAATGCATTTATTTCTTGAAAAATATGATATAGAACATAACATGTAATGGAGTATGTAACTGAAATTCTCATTGATTACATCAGCAAAACAAGTCAATTCAGAATGTGTGATTCCCGCCCTCGGCCAATGAAATATTAGTTGTTCCATAGGACGACAAGCTAATACATTGCATCTCAGTATAATACGAAACAGCATGGCGCGTAAAATTATGCTTCTGAAATCTGGATTGTTATCTCTCGCATCTCTACTTGAATGAATGCAAAAACGCGATACTGCCATGTAAAACAGTTCACATCTCATCTAACCCACAGAGCAAACATGTTCATCTGTTTTCTGATATCAAAGCTTTCAGAATACGAACACACTGTCATTGTTACTTTTACGGTTACTGGTAGAGAGTTCATTTGTTCTCTGATATCCATTTTCGGAATGTGTATACAATTTTGTTGTTACATGTACAGTACGTACCTCACATAATTGAGTATCGTTATGAGTAATAATCTTCAAAAATCAGTGATCTAATATTAATGCGTTTTGAGGCGTTTTACATTAAAAATTACTTAGATACTGTGTACATATCATATTGTCTATTATTCTACCTACTTTCACGCCATAGACAGAATTGAAGGCAATGTCGGTGAATTAGATATGCTTATTGCTGGCATAAATTTTCACATATAAATATTATTTCGAAAAATTCGTTAGAACCCAAGACTTGAATTTTTTCCCGCCATATTTGGGATAGAAGAACATAGTCATTTCCGGAAAGATTGTATTTCTGCCAACTTTTTACAAGTTTTTTTACTTACTATGAACCAATATTAACTATGATCCAATATTAAATATTCGGCACTAGCTGTATAGTTTGCATGTTTTACAGTGAAGGGATAGAATCTGCTATTAAGGGCACAGACGACAACATTAAAAACAATCGTTGCGTTTTAAATATGATTAAGATTAAATGAATTAGCGCCGATGGTGAACAGACATTTTTTTGAAAATTTTATTTTAATGTAATTATCAGTATTATATGTTCGCCATATGTGTTCCTTCTTTTACTTCAGCTGCACGTGACTGTGAGAATGTGTGTGGCGGTGTGTGCCGTGATGAATGTGAAGAAGGCCAGACACGAAGACCATGGTGCAAGAGAAGCTGTCCAGGAGAGCAACACTGCTGCACAAATGGTAAGTGTTCATTCTGAAAATAATAGCTTATTGAATAATTCTGCCATTCAGTGACATGTCGTCATATTGCATATATATAGGTATATTTTCACGTACTGATTGTCTTTAAATTTCAGCTGATAAATATATTTTTTTTATTTATAATGATAATCTTCATTTTGATCACTCTAAATTACATACATTTCGTTTCTTCCCGAATAAGCACGAAACTGTCGCGATATTTGTGGTGGACAATGCCAGGATCATTGCAATACAGACCAGGTAGCGAAACCATGGTGCAAAAGAAGCTGTGAAGGAGCCCAGGTGTGCTGTGCACCAGCATGTAAGCAATAGATATATCATTTGATGCATCTTGCATATACACAGATTTAAAGGGCGGTGGTCGTCGCGTCGCGCATATGCGACATTTCTGTTGATAAACATTGATTGTCACGGGTACGAGTTTTGATCTGGGTGCAACGTACACTTATTACCGCAGATGACTCATTTTCCATTCATCTTCTAATTACCAAGGAAATTACAAAGTTAAAGCTTAGTAACGTTTCATGTTGTACTCATTGTCTACGCAACAGTTAAAGTCTCCATCTTCGTTCCATATCTCGCGCATGCGTGGCACGACGACCACCTTCCTTTAATATATGTACTTTATCAACACGAAAAGTTGATATAATCTCTATTGTCAGAGTCAAAACTTCTTGGCACTGCTCACATAAGCATCTTGATATAACAATTAACTGTTTATTTCGTTAACATAAAAGTAGTGAACATTTTTCACAACGATAATGTTGTGGGTTATTAGGATGATAAGTATACATATATATTCCGACAACTTCGTCCAATATTTGTCAATTCTCTGTTTTGTGTATCGGTTCATCTACATTTTTGTTTTGCCAAATATTTAGGTCTGACAATTTCTACTCTAATACAAATTCAATTTTGATATCGTGTTTGAGCAAAATGAATACTTATAGTCTCACTGTCAATAACCCACCGTTTCACTATGTCGTACTACGAAAATATGCATATGATAATACGAGGTTATTACGAGGATGCCTCAAAGTATGCACAAAAACAGTACAGCGAGAGTATTATACATCTTTTCCGTCCAAGAATACATTATGGGAATGCCGAAATCCAAAAAGTTTAGAACAGAATCAGCGAACTTTTTGTGTGGAGTTCGGTCAAACCCCCGTGGCAGCCATGTTTGTTTTTATTATTAGAAGCCGTTTACGCGCGTAATCATTCCATATTTGGAATTCGCATTCCCTAATATGGTAGGATGAAAATACCCTGTAAAATACCGCAAAATTAAGGCACGCTGTAACTTATGGTGTTATAGTGACATATGTATAATGATTATATACAATTCCATGATATTTTCTCTTTTGTTGACGTCAACTTACACCATCTGCGACTCACTCAGAGTGATGCAAAACTATGTATCGTGAGATTATATATTAGAACTATGCTGGTACTTTAAACATGGACACGTTGTAGATAACATTTTTGAGAATTCGTTTTATAAGTTGGGCTTGACTGGTTGCTTTAAAGACATGAAAAAGCGTTGGAAATAACCAACAAACAAACATATACTTCTAACTCTAAATATATAATATACACAAAAATATACACAGTTGCAGTTTTAAATTTCATTGATGAGATTTCAATTCAACTAATTCGTTTCATCTTCATCCACAGAAATCTGGTCAATTTCATTGGACAATCCTAGAAAAGATTTCCCTACAGCTTACTATGCATCCTAGGTAACCAATAATGCACCTCTAGTAATAAAGCAGTTGACAACTAACGTTCTTGTATTTGTTCATAAATGTATGTATGTTGTGATGACTAGGATAATATAACGCACCAATAGAAAGGCATCAGTGTTGTCAGTGTAGGTGACAGCCTTGAAAGTGCTTTCTGACACTAAAGCACGGCTATGAAACGACAACAGCAGGTAACAGCCTGATTGATGTAGGGGTTCTAGTGAAAGTTTGAGATCAGAGACAGCAAACTGTAAACTACCATGTTTTAGGTATTTTTTCTGCAGTCCCATCCCGGATTGTGTTGTCACAGTGTACATGTGACACATAAAAAATAGAGCAATGACCTGTGGAAATCGTACCCGATTATCATCATATTAAACTACAAGTTGCATTTGTTTCTGTCAAACGTGGCGTTGCGTTGCGTTTCGAAGCCTCGACTTGATACTGCAAATAAACATTCCTAGAAGATCACTGGAGCCTTTGTTTTGCCTCTTGTTACGACGTCTGGTATGAATTACAACCTTAGCAATGCACGCTAAGAAGCAAAAAATACCTTGCCTTGAAAAAAAGAAAGTGTTTTAAGCGATAAAATAAAATTGTGAATCAAAGTGCGAAAGGCTGGATAAACCAGTCGCGATGTTATGTTACAACACTGAAGGAGTTTACATTAGAATAATGGCAATCCATATAAAGGTGCTTTGATACATATTACTAGCTTGGTTAAAAAAAGTAGTCGATGAACTTAAAACAGGGGTGGTCGTGGTTGTTATACAGATATCTTTGAATATAACAAAGTCGCATGGTAGATACAAGCAACATTTTCTGCACTTTTATAACTACATCAGTTACGAGGCTATCCTCGGGGCGGAGCTACGTCACATACGTTCCACGTTGCTAAGACGCGCACCACTGTACCATGCATTTCTATGGGCTCTGTGCGCGCTGCTGTGGAACGCCGGCGAGCCGGTGAAAATTCGAGAAAACAGCACAAACTCAAATTTGAAGTAATCCTGAACAACCGAATTCATATATGTCACACAAGTAGGGCTAATCTTGTTACACTGTTCAGGGGAGTCTCAACAATCATCCCAAAGTACCGTTTTCTGCGAGTTTTTGGCCTTTTGGCCGGTGAAAATGCCCGGATGTCCGATACGTCACTGTTTTGTACGTCATCGGTTACCTGGTCGTACGACAGTCGTTTTGAACGTGACTAAGGTGACTAACTCGTAGTTGATTTCCGAGAGCTTTTCTCGCTGTGAATTTTGATTAATTTTCACTGACATTGATAAAACACTTTATATTAGAGTGATTTTGTATATTTACGATGAAATAAGAATTATTGGATGCATTTTAGCTGATATTTACACCCACTGAAAACGAACACAACTGGTCAGTTTGTTATGAAAACAAACCCTACGACACCAGGCATTTATGTCCACTTTCTCGAAAGGCGACGTGTACTAACCAGTTACTATAGTTTAAACTATATAACTGAATTGTTCTTAAACATTTCAAAACATTCCTGCGAAGAGACATGTATTTAGACAGATGGTAACGCATGACATTGATCTGCTGAAAGAGGATTCGGCAAACAGGCCTGGAACTTCAGTAGAATAAATGGAAATAGCGAAAGCTCTGTCAAATGTCTTGAACTATAAACTACTAATTCAGATTCCGGATGTGAAATGACATAACAAATTTTATTGGATAGGTATATTATGGTTGCCCAATGAGAGACGGGTTGACATGGTTCTGTTTCAGTTACGTTCCCGTTGTGGGGGCTTGTACTTAATCTTTTTTTGACACCCGAGAACGTAACGCAAACGAAATTAGACAACACGTTACGTTCCCGTTACGTACGCAAATCTTAAACTCTCTACTGACTACGATATGATCAGATTAATAATAGAAAGAGCGCCCTCTGTAAGACAAGCTGTGAACACAGTATTCCACAAATTCAGTCCAGTGCTGATCTGTATAAGTTACGTTATGCCCAAGATAAACTCCCTAGGGTTTCAACCCAACGCTGTCCACTTGACATTGAGAAAGACCAAGTGCTCTTGTGCCTGTTACGTACCCATAACCCTTTTACAGCGGGGTCGTCACCTGCGCATGCGTCACATGGCATAAATTCAAAGAAAAAACAAGGTGAAAATAAACTAAACTACCCACGTCGACGTCAAACCAAAAGTAAGCAAAATCCACAGCTTTCTTATGCAAAGCATTATGAATTCCAAAACGCCACCAACGGCGAAAACCACATTCAACCTGACACAGTGGAGGGCGCTATTGAATTTAATGTCAAAACTAAAATACATTTAAATTTTTTTGTAATATTTTATATTTAATGTATGCCTAACATAACGTTCAACGTTCGTTATCTTGGATTTCATTTTCAAATTTGTTTTTTTATCTTGTTTGCGTTCGCAATATTGTTGTGTAAAAAGTTTGATTTTATTTTTGTCAATATCCCACAATATCTGTATATTTACATAGTTGTTGCAAACTATTTGCCACTGCCACCTCGCCCAAAAAGTCAGTCAAGATAGACACGTACATCGCGCAAAACCTCACTATTCATACACCACACAGCACTTGTGGTAGTAATACCGCCGAAGACGATTTATTATATGAATATTTTTAATTTTCCCATGCATGCATTTGCTAACATAAAACAAGAGCACAAGCGTACCACAACGCTCCAAGTGAAGTTTAATGTGTAACCATAGTATTGGCGCCATATAAGTCGCCATTTTTTTTTCAATTTAGTCATAATCGATATCACTATGACTAAATGGACCTTTCTTTGGAACAATGTGACAACCACCCTGGTACTAGAGAGACTGTCGCCCAGGATTGCACAACACACCGAGATCTGCCTTAAACATTTACAACATTAATAAGGTATGCCATCAATTGCCCATGCCAGGTGTTTTACAGTTGTTTGCAGTTCGTCCATTGTCATATCACGGTCATCTACATGAAGTTTTGGTATTCCCACCAACATGTTTTTATTTTATCTAAATAATTTTGTAAAAGTCACACGTCATTTTCCAAATTTGGGTCATCAATGGACTATCATCAGGTCGTTTGAGGTGTACACTAGATTTGATGGTTCCGTTACGTTTCTGTGGTGTCGCCGAAGTCATTAAGAAAGGGGTGACGTTGTTTCTTGTTATCATTAAATTGTTCCTTAAAAAGTGAAGGTGTTTTTTTCGCGTGGGCGACAGCCCCCTCTGCCCCGGTGCCGCCACCACTGTATGAATTTTGCGTAAATTTAGCAATCCTGTCAGTAAGGGAATGGTCGCATGTGCACAATTCTCCGGAGATGACTTATGGGGCAAACAAGAAGCTCATCCCCTTCCACCTGACCTGGTTCACAGCCTTAGCGAAAACGTGTCCTGGTTTCAGCGAGGGGTTGAGTGGTTACAGGGGTAAAGGAGGTTTGTACCCTCTCATCGATAGGAGTAACAACACATCCATTAAATTGTGTGATGTCATCGTATTTATTATCAACACACTCTTTACACAGAATGGTGGTATTCCACTTATTTATGAATTGATTTTCTTTATTAATCTCATTCCTAGGCGAGATGACTGTGATCTTATTTATTTTACAAAAAACGAATGTATTCTCATTTGAATTTATAATTTTACGTTTTCTTCTCCCGCGATAAAGGCCAACTATGCTTTATTCCTGTACTGACAAGATCACCTATTTTCATTTTTGAGGGGTAATTTCAGTATTAAAATCTTTGAGTTTTCATATATGTGATCAACATGTTATTTTCGGGAGCTTTCTTACATACATCGTCACTGATTAGATTCAGGAATATTTCTGCAACATCGCTTGATGAGGGTACTATATTTGCTATTAAGCAATTGTCGGCAGTAGCCATGGCTGCAGTCGGTTCATTTTGTGTATCTTTGGAATATATGTGTATTGTCTATTTTGAGCGTTTGTAATAACAGGTGGTAGACCAGGCTGTTAAACAAACGGCATACTATTAACATTTGAACAATTCTCCCTCATGTGACCTTAATGGTTGCAGGTGAAACATCAAAGGTTTCGTTGACCTTAAGTGCTGGGGGGCTCGTCCGGGATAGATGTCACACGCAACGTAATATTATCGTAATTGGTATAGTACAGGTGTGATGGTTCAAATACCAAAATGGCAACAGCAACAGAAAGACTTCCCTGGTGGCGATGATAACATGCGAACACGTAGCCAACAAATGAGGTTTCAACTGGTACTGGTATTATTATACTCTGCAAACATCAAGTACAATAACGCGGTAAAACTCCACTACTCCAATAACTAGATACTTAAACTCCAATACAATTCAACGAGATCTCCGATCTGAACTCAGTGCTGAACAACTCCCCTATATATACCCACACTGTCTATAAATAGACCATTACATCAGCATACATAATGAGTCTGGAATTTACTATAAATTTCTATAATGTTCAATTACCTTCTATTGCCTCCTACAGTGTTCTATTACTTATTCAACCAGTTTCTAAAAAAATTTAGAATATTCCACCCAGACACAGTACGGTTCTAGAACATTTCCAGTGACACGGAAGTGGTAAATAAGTCGTATGCGATATGCCTTCCCTCTCAAGAATATTATAACATATAATATTACATGACTAGCAACGACGTCAATAATACGAATACGATAACAATTTCAAATAAAACAACAATACAATATATCAAATCGAACTGAATAAAGCTCTGAGTACATACAGTAGAATATAATAAAATATGAAATACAGTCATAAACGAATAACATTCTACTATACTGTTCAAAAGTTCTTCAATCCATCAATCTACTCAGGTAGTCCGCTACCACATTGTCCCGTCCAGGAATATCCTCAACACGATAATTATATCCTTGCAGAGTCATCGCCCATCTCATCACTCGGTCATTTGCAAACTTGGCTTTATCCAGGTAAGACAATGGTTTATGATCCGTCTGCAAAATGAACTCCACACCGGCTAAATATAGGCGAAATTTATTCACGCCCCATACAATGGCTAAACATTCCCTTTTTACAGTTGAATATTTCTTTTCTGCATCGGATAACTTCTTATTTGCATAAGCAACTGAATGAAGCTTCTCACCATGATTCTGCATAAGTACTGCTTCAATTCCTACCTGAGACGCGTCTGTCCGCAACACAAATGGTTTCTGTGGGTCTGGCAACTTCAAAATTGGTTTGCCCAATAAGTATTCCCGCAAAGTGTTGTATGCTTTCTCCTGGGCCTCTCCCCATACAACTTTGTTAGGTTGTCCTTTCCTTAGTAGGTCACTCAAGGGTGCTGCAATAGTTGCGAATAAGGGAATATGGTCTCTGTAGTAATAGACCAGCGACCAAGAAAGGTGTCCGATCATTCTTTGGGCTGGTCAATTACTACTTCGTCATTGCGAATATCCGGTAAAAATCATTGAGAAAGACAAATTGCAATCTACACCGTATATTATAAACACTATTTATTTATTTATTTATTTATTTATTTATTTATTTATTTATTTATTTATTTATTTATTTATTTATTTATTTATTTATTTATTTATTTATTTATTTATTTATTTATTTATTTATTTATTTATTTATTTATTTATTTATTTATTTATTTATTTATTTATTTATTTATTTATTTATTTATTTATTTATATAATTTGTCACATCGTTTCGCTACTGGAATAAAAATCATGATTTTAAATTAAATAAATTATTTACACATTATACAAGTGTTTGCGCTATAAACTAAAGGCATTCAAAAATTTGAAAAACTTTTTCCTTTCAATCATAAGTTGTCAATATCATGAAACTCCTTTGTTCTAATTTCATTGTACAATACATGTATTATGTGAAAACCAATGCCATTCAATGGTGTATTTACTGTGTACAGATAAACGGCTATATCATATGGTTGTTCAGCAACACTCATTTCTCTATGACCACCATACGTTGCTATGCCAACATCATATCTACCCAGGTACTTAATATATTGATCTTTACTTTGCATGTTTAATCTCGAGTGCAGTCGATTTCATTTTCAATACACCCCGGGACTAGAAGTTTTAGTTGGATCGAATCGAAGCAATGCTAAATGATGTATTGCTCAAATATCCAAGGAAACTAGTTAAAATTTAATGCGTCTCTATCACGAAATGTACGAACGTACTCGAGTATATAAATTATTTTGTAAATTACATAAGCCATGACTTAAACTGCATTATTCTGCATTCCTACTATTTTTGAATGTTTTACGTTTTACATTTGACACTTGGACTCAGCTAATTGCTTTCTAGGGAACATGGCATAAAGAGCTTGCAGTGGAACACACTAGTTTACTATAAGTTTATTTTCATATTATGCAAATACCTGATAGTGGTAAGAACATAAGATGCCTGAGTTTTTAATGCTAATACAAAGGGAAATGCGACAGCACAGCAATGTGGTTTATAAATTAATTTTCTATAAGTTGCATATGCCATGTACAGACTAAAAGAACTTGGGCCAAACGCAATATATTGTTATATCTTTGCATTTTACATTCCCACTATGTTGACTGTTAGTCTAGATATGGAGTGGAAAAATCTAGAATAACCTACATGCGAACCAATTAATAACAACATCAAAATCGATGTCGAACTAACCCTTCTAGAATGAACATTTGTTTGAATGATAATAATGAAGTAAAACCTGACATAACTTGAATACTGGTGAATTAGCTTACGAGAATCCGATTGTAATTTCGGTATGATTCGTTAAACTTGGTACCTATGGTAGTAGTTTATTGCATGAATCATATATGCTGGAAAGTGTGAATATGTTACATGTATACCCCGTATTGAACAGCTGGTAAGGGTTAATTTTAGAATGGATACAGTAGCAGTAAACAGAATTATTGAGAGGTTGAAATCACAATCACCACCAGCAATGAACATATTGCAGGTCATACCTTGTGTTACCTTTTATTTTTTCTGGAACAGCTTAATTAAAACTACACCTACCGGTATATCGTAGCAGCTCTGAGCATGGTTGACATTTGGTATACAAACAAACCATGATGCCCCAGACCACATTCGCCACAACATTTCCAATGTTATGCGTTAATCCAGCAAGACAAATAAACATTTGCATATACAATAAAGCTATACTCAGCTTGAGTTTATATGAAAACAAATTTTGAGAAATCCATTTTTCAGTATAAAGGCGTATAATTGTTTAATGGAATATACATTGAATATTGCCAATTTAATCTTTTAATAACCCCAAATACGTATTGAAAACGCGGCAATTTTCTTTAATGTCATCTGTCATCAGTAGTCTGGCCATTAATAAATAGCAGATGTTTGCTGCTGTCTAGTCTACTTGATTTGGGTAGTATATATTATTATCGACATAGAGTCAGAAAAAATACTTTCATATGTTGCAGAATATTGTATTTTTATGCTGTAGACTGGTTATCACCTAGGTATAACGTCGGTATCTGATATTTTTAGTTGCCGCACGATACTGGGTACTAGACAATTGATGCAAATTGTTTTGCTTACTCAATTCTGATAATAAATACTATTCTACGCCTAGCTCTGCAATCATTGGCGATGACCACTGCAATAGTTTTCGTTATTATACTCAAGTTATTGTACTCTGTTTAACCCTTGACCTTTCGCGCTCCGGTATCCGGTATTTTGTCAATAACCTTATTAGTGTACATAGAGGGCAGTACATAGACGCTGGGAAGGCTATTGCTTTCAGCGTTTTCCATAAGGTGCCGCCTCTGGAGTCCAGGGGTTATTAGATAAACTAGAATTGTATTGTAAGCGCTGGAGTATGTCTGTAAACTTGGAGAAGACCAAAATTATTGTTTTCAAGGGCGGGGGACATTTATCAAGGAACGAAAAGTGGGTTTATGGAGGGATGGAGGTCCACACCGTCTCATACTACAAATATCTTGGAATTATATTCTCCTGTAGACTACACTGGTCAATGGCAACAAAACTATTGGCGCAACAAGCGAAAAAAACTTTATTTTGTACATTTAAAGCTCTGAATTGCTTACGCCCTCTATCCTACATAACCTATTTTAAGGTCTTTGATACAATGATATTACCAATACTAACGTATGGGGCGGAAATCTGGGGTTTTAGAGAGTGTAAATGTCTAGAACGAGTCCAATATCTTGCCTGTAGAATGTTTCTTGGTGTTTCAAATAGATCACCAAATATACCGATATACAACAACCAGATAGTTAGGGTGCTTTCAAATTTGCATAATACATTGTTTGGAAATAAGCATATGGTAAATAGTGTTTGTTTCACCGCAACCACTTTTTGATCTGACCCGATAATAAACATATAAATACGACGTCTGAAATGCAGTTACTCAACCTAGATCCGACTGATAACGTGTATACATTGCTCGACGATCATCACAGAATACATTTATTCAAGATGCATTTCAGTTTGGTGTTTATGTTGGTAGCACTGATGTTTGTAAGTATCCACTAACTATTAAATGTTGAATCACAAATTGTTTTGCAATAATATTTAATTAAGTTAGCCAATAATTAAATGCAATTAAAGGATAATTTAATATTTGTATTACAGGTGGTTGCTACGGGAGACGAGCATTGTAAGTAATATATATTCATATTTTCTCTTTTCGAAATGTTTACCGTCTTCCACGGTACATAAACAAATTTCACTTTAGGTCGCTGACATGTTTGTTGTATGGTAAATTTCAGAATTGCATCCTTGTATTATATCCCCTGAATTTAGTTTAGATAACACAGCATATGAAGTGAAATTACGTTACTGAAATTGAGATTGGTACCTTGGTATCAAAATCACAGTGCCCATTAACTTGTAGAATAGTTTCGAACATCACAGCGACCTGTGACCTGCGACCTGTGACCTGTGTACACGTCATGTACTGTAGATTCATTCTTGTCAAATAATGTTCAAGTTATCCGACTGTTCCCCAATATCCAAGCTTTCAGAATAAGTATAAATGATCATAGTTACGTGTACAGTAACTGACCGAGAATGCTACTTTGAAGTTCATTTTCCAATAAATTAGGGGACAACCTTATTCCCTCTAATTCCAAAGCTTGCCATTTTGCCAGGTTACATAGTGTGGTAAATTTACAAGATTACTTTTCCGCAAACACAATGCTATTACCAGATTTCATTGTATACACTGTAATGGTTTACTCACCAACGTTACTAGTATGAATACATATGTTGTGCTAAACAGTTAGCAAAGGATGATACAAAATCTCAATCAATCTGTGACCGATCAGGTTGTATACAAAAACGTCAATTCTACAAAAACCTATTATTGTAGGTTCAAATAAATTCAACACAAATATTTCGCAATTCTTTTTCTGACTATACATCAATATTGAATGTTTTCTATTTGTAACGACCAAGGTAGACTACTTGTATATTAAGCATGCTCTCTTCTGTGTACAGCAGTAGCAGGCGATATGAAAGACGATCTTTGCCAATTTTGCAAATATGATTTCCAAAGTTATTTTAGGAATAAATAAGCACTATGTACTGATGTTGACTTAATATTTTTTGATGCAATTTGTTTTTATCAGCCGAGTAACACACACGATTCTTTATATTATTGTTAATGTACTTTATTGGCAAAGTCAGTGTTTGGGTCACAAATTACGCCTTTCTTTTCCTTCTTCAGCTGCACGTGACTGTGTGAATGTGTGTGGCGGTGTGTGCCGTGATGCATGCGAAGAAGGCCAGACACGAAGACCATGGTGCAAGAGAAGCTGTCCAGGAGAGCAACACTGCTGCACAAATGGTAAGTGTTCTAAGTTTGTATGTGTTGGTCTGCGCAACAGTCAGAATTCGCCTTCTTTGTTTATATAAGACCCATATCTCGTCGTGCGTGGCGTGACGACCTTTAAGCTTTTTATAGAATCAAATGACCCATTTTTCCTGGAAATGATTTTTCATGGTTGCACGGAAGAGTAAACATTTATTTATTAATAAAATAAAATTCTGATGTCAGTAAAATCTTTAATTGCTCTTCTACGAATTCACGCATTTCTTTCTTTTGTTTTTGCATTAGCACGAAACTGTCGCGATATTTGTGGTGGACAATGCCAGGACAGTTGCACAGGGGAGCAGACTGTAAAACCATGGTGCAAAAGAAGCTGTGAGGGAAACCAAGTGTGCTGTGTAGATTCATGTAAGCAATGGATTTGTATGATATTATCTACCTAGTATATACACAGATTTACGATCTAATATATCAACAGAAAATATTTGAGAACATTATGATATTTATTGTCAGGTAAAACTACTCGGCACAGCTTGTAATATGGATAACTTGTTAGTTATTAAATTTAACTACTTTACTTATTAATTTATAGTCGATGCCAACTTGATAACACTGTGCAGATATAATAAACACGCAGCACATTTGCGTGAGAAACTGTTAAAGCGCGGCGGTCGTCGCGCAGCGCGTGTTCGAATTTCATGTAAATAAACAATGTACTAGTATTTTACACGCGTTGCATACGTCGCTATGAGTCCCATATCGAACAGGACGCGGCACCACGACTGCCGCCCTTTAAAACATTTCTTGTGCGTATAAACTATATTTTAGTGACTGTTGACTATTTTAGTCAGCCCGAAGGCACAAAAAATGTTTGAAAAAAAAAAATCATAAAAAATGCGGCACATTCTAAATATGTAATGTACATAAGGTTATGTACGGTTGTACATTTCAATGTAATTGATGAGATGTGTACGTAGATATATTTTAATACAACTAATTCGTTTATTTTCATCCACAGAAATCACGTCAACACAAGCCTGGGAAAAAACATCCACAACTTGTGATTTGTCTTAGGTAGCAATGAGTACAGCTCTAGAAATAAAATAGAAAAAAAAAAACACTTTTGTGTATGGGTTCATAATTATGTGTGTGTCTTGTTGCGTGGGACTGAAATGCTGTGTAGAGATTCAGATAACGCACCATAAAGTGGCAACGGTGATGTAAAATGATCCGTAAAGTGGTAGTCGTGATGTAAAGTGATGCCGCACAGTGGCAACAGTGATGTAAAGTGATGGCCATCGCAGTGTTTTTTTTTATTTTAAATTTACTTCGTTGCCAATCTGATTCGTAAATACGTGTGAATATGCTCCTGATAGTGTGTCTCCAATGGGTGAATACGGAGAGTCATTGATTAATCTCGCTTCTCAATTGTAACATTATCACACTCCTTTTCTTTCGGAGTCAATATAAACGTACTGGTGTTAAATCACACAAAAATAACTACTCTCATGGCTCTAGCATATGTCTGTCTATAAAGTGAAATTGTAGAAAGTAAGCACAATGCACAATAACCACAGTAATCTGCAGGAGTGTACTCCCCGCCAAAATACATGTGAAATACTACAGTAATTATGTATTAATTAGCCTGACAAGGTCGCGTGAATTGCGCCCTCCGTGGTCCTCCAAACCTAACACGCGCCAGACAGAACGATGCAGTTTTTCATTTCCCTCGACGATCTTTTGTCGGTACCAATCATTGAAACTCATTGCAAGAAGGCGTGAACTTTGCGAATTCGAAATATTTATCTTGCCTACGAGACATTTTGTCAGGCATAAATGATGCCGTCACGGTTCTGTCGGCGAGGGCGCCACTCACGCCTACATATCAGGCTGTATATTAACCTCATAACTATACGTATTGACCACGTTCTCGGAATATAATTCTGTCTCTGCAGACAATTTTATCAACTTTACTGTCTTTCAAGTTTCACCACAGAACTAAGTGGTCAGTCGTTACAGAGCAGTGTGTATCAAGTGTATTCCTGTTATATTCATACTGGGTGTGTTTCACTTCCATCTGATCTGGCGACTCTAGTTTTTCCTCCAGCGAATACATAACTGATCTGTTTAATACTATTGTGCCTCGATTTGGATTTTCATGGCCACCAGAAAGTGCATAACTGTGACGATTATTCCATGGTCGAAAGTTATGAACGTTTTCAAACTTGTTTACATAAATTTTGAGTTCATTCCCAGCACTGAGGAAATTGCATCGTATATTGCCATGCATCGACAAAGAACATTTAATGAATGTGTATGTGTCTATTGAGGTGATCTAAATGTGTATCAAGATAAATAAGAGATATTTATTAAACAACTGGCCCGTTCAAAGCAGCAAATTGTACGTCTTACTCAGAAACAAATTCATTTATCATAACAAAATCGAGATGCATAATTGTTTCGATACGACATTGCTACTAGCTAAAATATTATTTTAGCTCCATGTACTAGCATACATACAATACTGAAATGTACCTTGAATACATCTGTACTGTTATAGATAGATAATGTACACACGTTATAAGTCAGTTTGTAGTAGAACACTGGATCTCAGAATAGTCCTAAAAGCGCTAAAATTTGTTTTGTATAATACATATGCATTAACCGACCGTTTGTCCTCTCTAATTATTGCGCAACTATTATCTGGTCACGTGACCTATCTCGAGTTGTCTCTTGTTGGTAAATTGAAGATCTGTCGAGGCAGATAGAGGTATTTGGGGATAGAGATATTTGCCATAACCCTTTGTTTAGGTCGGTATTGGTTAAATAGTGTCAACCCTCCAATTTAACCCCACCCATTACAAACTCATAAGTACATTTAACTTCGGAGTCTATAAATCCAAAGGTCCATTAATCTCTTAAAACAGTCACTAGTCCCCATGATGTTCCAGCCATGCAACAATTGGAATGGATCAAGCTTAAACTAGCTTGGGGGCTTCTCGATATGTGAATAACAATGATGCAATATATCGATCCAATCATTGGGTCTTTCATTGCACATGCGTTTGAGAAAACATTAACATTGTTTTTTGAGTTACATTAAAAATGGGAGAATAAATGTTGTCTTTCGGAAGATATTCATATGTATCTGAAGTAATGTATAACATTACGTTCTAATATATTTTGATGAAATATAAATAGGTCAGAATATTCCTGTATGACACTAAATTCTAGAACCGTCTTACTTTCTAGTGTAAACACTTACCATTTGTAACTGTTTATATAGTTCTTGGGGACAATAAACCAGCAGAAAGTGAATGGATAACCACTGTGGGATAACTAATAAAATAACCATTTGGATTTGTTGAAAAATGATGCCTGGGTTGAAACATGATAGTTTTTTGTGTGAACTGTACTTCA